CACGAAACGAGCGGTGCTTGGTACTATTATCAAGCTTCCACCGGAACCACCACATGGCAACATCCCCTGGACGCCGTGTACAAGGAGATGGTCGAGCAGGCCAGAGCTGCGAGCAACGCCGCCAAGCCTGTTAACGCCAGGCAGATCAGCGTCGGTACGGATTGCCTCGTCATTACGGCTGAATGGAAAATATAGGATTAACCCTTTGCACTTGGACTGATATCACTTGGCTGCATTTTGCGCTTAATAGAGACAAAGACTGATTAACCGATGCATCATCCATTCCTTTTTTTTATTGCTGCACCGTTGTTAGTTTAGATTGGAGGTAGAACGCGTATATTATAGCACAATCGCACATTTGAAAGGCTCGTAAGTAAATAAAATGATTCTTCTTCAATTTCAATTGCGAACTTGGTTCACCAAAGTAATTCAGATACAGAAATTGTTGCGATAATATACCGTGAATATTACGTTACGAATGCTTAAAGATGCTTGAATATTTTTATTATTTGAGAAAAGAAAAAAAAAAGGAATTAATAAAGATTATTAATATCTCTATTAATTTATGAGCTTTTCATTTGTATTTGCGATCCGTTCTACGATCGACGATTACTTATCGACTCGTAGAACGCGTAGAATTGACGAGAAGACTGATTACGAATATAACACGATGTGTAATATTTTTTTATCAACCGAATGTTTCCTACTCTGACGAAAGTAGGTTACTGTAACGAACAACGTATATTCGCGTTTTGTACATGTATGTAGATCATGGTGTATAAATAAAGCATTATATTCGTATCATGGAATGGTAATCGCATGATTCTTTTTTTTTTTTTTTCTTTGCATCTTGTGCCGTCAAACGTGCAAAGGGTTAAACCTCGCACCCGAAAAGAAAAGACTACCGTAATCGTTCTCTTATCATTTTGCTCGACATTCATTTCCACGTTTCGTTTTCTCGATACCGAAATTGACGCTTCGCTGAGCGTTCTTTTTTCTGAAAGAATCTGACTTTCATTCGATAACAATGTTTCGATAACAATTCATCCGCATCTAATCTCTTTTCTAATTCGAACGAGTTATCGATACGAATCTCAGTAGTAAACAAGATAAGATATCAGCGATACCTGTTTAAAAATCAAAGATTATTTCCTAATTTTTACTACTGGATGAAAGTTGGACGAGTGCCTCGCTAGATGGCGCTTTTTTCGTCTGTTTCCCTGTTGTTTCATTGCCAAAATTTAACTGATTCGCGTCAAAATTAAACAACATATATACACATACATATATACATATATATGTTTATATCGGTTCGGCAAACTTTTGAAATCTCAAAGGAATTTTGGCTTTTCGTCAAATTTTTTCAACGAAAAACTTTATCTATATAATCTTTCAATTTTTTTCGTTTTTCTTTCTTTTCTTTCTCTTCCTTTTTTTAAATCTCGAGCAGTCATTCATCGTGTCTGGTTATTCGCACGATATATTCAGACGGACTCATACCAATTACGTAAAGTGGGAATATTCTTTTGCGCTTGACCTTGAAGCTTGACTTCGTACAATTACAAACCGCTTCGTTTTCTTTTCCAATGACCGCAGATCGCCGACAACGAAATAGCCTCCACTTATTGGCTCGGTATTTTTACGTAACGCGGCGTATAGTTCATAGCCACACGGAGAGCCAGTCTCGCGAGTTTTATGTAACCTTTCGCGATTCGCGTAGCGCGATACAATCGGTACACCGTACCGAATTCGTTTCGTTTGTTAATTATTTACGAACACGTGTATCGATTGCGGTAACGTTGTTAATCTTATCGCGGCTCTCCCTCGCGTCCTCGCTTTTATGTAACGAACATCGATAATCGTTTCTTTTTTTTTTCTTTTCCTTTTTCATTTTCTTCTTCTTCTTCTTCTTCTTTTTTTTTTTTTTTTTCGAAAAATACGGTACAGTAAATTAAATTGCTCCTCGCCCGTCAGAGCTCATCGCGAAAAAGGTATCATTTCATTAAGGTTAAACGGGTTGACCGTTAAAAAACGAAACGATTGTTTTCGTAGAAAGTGAAACGGATTCAGTGAATCGGGCGAAGCAAAGGCCGGCAAGTTCAAACCGCAATATCGAGGCTCGAGGACAATAAACTTGTATCGCGCGGATTTGTCGCGCGATTTCTTCGGGTTGACGGTGATGGCCGCGCTCCTCTGCCTCTGCGAGAACAGAGAACCCTTCAAACTCTTTCCTCACGATACATTCGTTAAGGCGCTACTACTCACGTGTCGGTGCACTCGCTCGTGAAAGTACGTAATAGTTGCTTGAACGTAGATCCGTCCAATTATCGCGTCCTCGTCCATCGAACGCGGATCGTTGTGTCGTGTCGGTGTTCCTCGCTACGCTCTTCGCCATCCAAAGCTGGTGACACAATCTCAAAGGGGTACACGATCAATCACCGTTCACGTGAATTTATTGGCTCTCTAGTTTCGCACGAGAACTCGAATTTCGATACACTTGTCGTTCTTTTGACAACGAGGCAACAACGACGATTCGATATGAGCTTCGGATCGCGATTCCACGATGCGCATGGTAAACGTTTGCCGAAATAATACGTGTATCCTTTTCTTCTTCTTCTTCTTCTTCTTTTCCCCCTTTAATTTAAATATTGTCATCGAATTGTGTGAAGTATCGATTACCATTAGTCAGAGATCGAAAACAGTGTTTAAAGCCGTGTCAACATGCTGTGGTTTTTGCGGCCTAGACCTGAGAACAGTGGACTCGTGAAAAGTCAATATTTGTTGATAGTTCCGTCTTTTTAATATATATCCTCTCGTTTTTGCACCGGATAAAGAGGAAGATTAAAGGCGCGCTCTGAAGGTTGGGGTTTTCTTTTTTTTTTTTTTTTTTTTTTTTTTTTAAATTTCCATCCCATCGTAGATTTCTCTGAAGCGGTGGTTATGAAATAATATCCTCCCTCTCGCTCTGTAAATGGAAACGAAACTCGCGATGGATTATTTTATAAATACGATTTTGGCATTTTTTTTTTTTTTAGAACGACAACTATGTTAAAAAGATTTTGAATAGTTGTAAAAATATTTGTCTGGTCCGTTTCTCTCGGATTTGTAGTGATAAATATTATCATGAATATGCATGAATTTGTTCGCTATCTATTTTGTCTTCTTTTTCAATGCAAACCTCACTGACGAAAACGAAATAACATATTTAGTCTACAGAATCTTACATAAATCGATACATAAAATTCGATACTCTTTATGCTTATTTTCTTTTTCTTCTCTTATTTTCATTTTTTCTTTTTTTCTTTTTTCCTTTTTTTTTTTTTTTTGATAAGTGAAAGGGAGCTCGAAAAAATGCATGACATTTTATACAACTCTACTCCTCGCTGTTACATAATAATCGCCTCTGCACTCTTCTCGGCTTTTAGGCATATTTTCTTATCCATTTCATCGCTGTTCCTCTTATCCCTGTGTGCCGAGTGTAAAAAAAGAGGAGGGAAAAAAGTGGAAAACAGTCGTTGACTCGCTCGCGAGGGAACGTTGACACTGTCGCCTCTTTTCACTCGAGAGGGTCATCGTGAGCGGGGAAATGTTTGCGCGCGTTTCTCTGATCCTTGGAACGACGACTATCGACTCGTGCCTGCCTCTTCTTCCAACCTTTTCCTCTCTCTCTCTCTCTCTCTCTCTCTCTCTTACTGTTCACTCNCAACGAAACAACTTCACCAAGTTACACAAACTTTGCTTTTCCTCCGTTCGACAGAAGAGGACTCGAAGACAACGGCCAAGGAGCTCGAGTCGAACGAGGAAGCAACTCTGCCCAAGGAAACGTCTTCGTCCGCCAAGGAATCCGGCAAGCAATCCGCCAAGAACAATCCGCCACCTACCAGAATCCCCACGAAGCTGGCGCCGTTGAAAAAATTGGACAAGATCGACGGTACGAGGAAGAAGGATGGCGGGAGCCAAGAGAAACAACAATCGAGACGGGAGGACAATCCGTTGGCGACTAACAGGGCCGGCAGGGATTACACGAATCTCAAATTCCAAGATCCGAGATTCTACGAGTGTCCCAAGCTCCTGGAGACGGTCGCATCGACCACGACCACCAACACGACCACGTCCACCAGCCCAAAGCAGGAGATAGACCTGAAAGAGGTGCTCAAGAGATCGGAATCCCTCAGCCCGAGGCACGAGAAGGATTGGGAGCAGTTGTCGAGCAGGTTCAGCTCCGAGGAGAATATCATAGACATCGATAAACTTAGCATCAACACGTTGGCCAGGTCGGAGAAATCCGACAAGTTCGACAAGGAGAAACATCCGAGCCAATTCGGCCAACAGAAGGAATTGACTCTGAGCGGTGGGGGGACTATGTTCCTGAAGAGCAACAGGAGCAGAGACACCACGCCTATCCACGAGACCGGTAAACTCGACGAGTTCCGTACCTTGTCGATCCCGGACGAGACCAACAAAGACAGCGGGGACAAGTTGAAGTCGATTCTCAGGGAGAAACAATCCGAGGACGGTAAGTTCAATTCTGAATGTCAATTGTTTCATCGTTTCACGTCGGATCGTCCAATTTTAATTTTAATCGGTTAATCTCGATCAGACGACAGACCGGTGGACGAGGAAAGGAAAAGCGTACGTTTCGACATCGAGAAGGAAGTGGACATCAAGTACACTTACTCCAGGTCCGAATACGAGTCGGAATCCGAATCTGACGAGCATGAGGTGCTCGCCATGCTCTCGAGTCGAGATACCGAGTGGAGTCCCTCGAAAACGCAGAAAACCAGCCAAAGATTCACGGAGGAGAGCAAGGAAGATCCCGAGGACAAGATCGATGGATGTGTCAAGAAGAGTTTATCGTCGGAAAAAATCGAAGCGTCGAAGACGCAAAATGGGAAGATCGTGGGAAAGAGGTTCGTCGTGAGGAACGTGCCTGAGAACGAACTTCGTAAAAAGTTCGCTCCTCAGAACGCTTCTGAGAAGGAACACCGTATGCAAATGACCAGAGACAGTTTGTCCGGAGAGAGTTTGTCGAGGGAGAGCAGTTTGGACTACACGTTCACCAATAAATTCAACAAAATTAAAAACATCGATCTGGTTTCGAAGAGCGAGACCGATTACAGCGACTCTGAACTACGGCGGAAGAATAAATTGAAAGTGGAGTTGCCGCGCAACGAGCAGACCGACGACGACGAGACTTCAGATTTCTCCAAGATCAATCAAGAGGCTCACGATATCTCGCGAAGGGAAGCCAACGAAGCGACGAAACAGGATCAGAACAAGAAGCTGGAGGAAGCGAAAGCGAAATTGAATGAAGAGCACGAAAAAGATATCGAGGCGTTGAGGAAAGAGTACAAGGACAAGTTGGAACAGATGAAAAAAGAATTGGAGGAGAATTTTGCGGAGCAGAAGAAGCAAATAGAGAAGAATCTGAGTGACAAGTTGGAGGATATGAGGCGAAAGATGGTCGAGAAGGTATTTTTCTACATCTTAAACGATTTTAATCTTATATATGGATATATATATGTATGTATTTCTTATACGTTTATATTTTTATCATTCGTTAAGGAGGAACGAGAAATTCAAAAATTAATCGCCGAAATGGACGAGGCCAAGTTGGAGAATCTGAGAAAGGTAAAGGCCGAATTGGAGGTTTGCTACGAAAAGGAGAGGCAAGAGATCTTGGCGAATTTGAAGACTGAACTGGACGAGAGAAAGGGAGAATTGTTGGAGCTACGGAATCAGGAGATGGGGAAATTGGAGAACGAACACGAGCGCGACTTGGACGAGGAGAAGCTCGCCAAACTTAGCGAGATCAAATTGAGCAAGCAACACCAGGCGAGGATCAAAACGATGAAGAAGGAATTGGATAAGGAGTTCGACGAGTTGCGCAAACAATTACGGGCACAGCAGAGGGAAAATATCACGAAAATTACGGAGGAACACGAGAGTCGTCTTGTCGAAATTCTACGCGATTTTAGAGTGAATGTAAGTACCTGACGGTGTCTATTATCATAAGTAGTTAGCTAGTTGTATTATATCATCGATGCATAATAGAGTAATCTTTCTATTTTTTTCGAAGATCTTCTAGTTTCCTCGTCGAATAACAGTCACCAATTTAATTTTATACCATTTCTTAGAAATATTGTGTTATCCGTACGATGCGAGCTATTGGCGTTATGCAACGATTAGTTAACTCGTTGAACGTTATTACTTTTTTTTCTATGAACACAATAAAGCTATTCGCTTATCGGTTTCTTTTACGATTAGATGTAAATAGATATGCGATATAATTCCACGTTCGGCCCAATATTGTACGACACCGTCCAGTCTAAAGCGCCTTATAGGATATTATTAAGAAAAAAATCCTTCTACTCGATTATTGTACTCGAAGGATTATTCTTTTTAAGTTGATTGTATCCAGAAGATTATATTCGAAGAAATAAAGTGGCAGTGTACGCTATCGCAAATAAGCACTCTTATATATACTTTGACCTAGACACACGCATTGCATGCTGCTTATTTATACAACGTTTCGATGAAAAAAAAAAAAAACGAAACGAAACGAAACGAAACGAAATTTCAACAGGACGACGAAGATGAAGACTTAGGAGGGAAGATGCACGCGCATTTGCACATTTCCTTTGCGAGTAAAAATAAGATGCTGTTTCAGGAGGATCGCACGCGCAAGATGTACAAGCAGTGTTTGGAAGAGATTCGCGCCGATTTCTCGCGCGACGCGGAGAAAGAGGCTAAGAAACAGACAGGTCGCGCTATCCACCAAGAGAGCATCGAGTTCGAGAAGATGAGGTGCGAGAAGCGATTGCTCCAAGATAAGTACATGGCGTTGAAGGAGAAATACATGAAATTGAAGAAGGAGGTACGTTCGGCTATCGAGAGGAGGAGTAGGAGAAAGGAGGGATACACGACCGCCTCGGAGACGGAGAGGTCGACGTCGACGAGGACGAGGACGGACAGGACCGAGTCGTCTGATCAAAAGTGAGTTCAATCGTAAACGTAATCATTCCGCTAGTTTTCATTCCGGTCAACCGTTTGCTTTTCCAATAATAGTTGCAGCAAACATTCGGCATTTCATTGCAATATTTTAGGATGTCGCGCCATTGTAGCGGCGTCATACAAGAGGAGGGCGCGTGAAATCAGAGAAACGAATTGAATCGCAAAGGGTTGACATGTTGGATCGCGCTCTGAACCACTTGTACGTGCCATGACTTTAACAAAATCAGTCGGAAGCACGGTTTTTATCTACGTGTTACGATATTTGTATTTGGATCGAGTGTTCACTGTACTAATTGATTAAGTTATTGCACATCCATCCTCCTCGTCACCAATTCCAGTACCTTCATGGTTAAACGCTTCACGCTTATTTCTCGTCTTACATACATACGTACGCAATAATTTTTATATACACGTTCGATCGTCGGATTTGTCGAAGAAGAGAATATCGATTCGGTAATAAATAATAATAAATAACGACGATTATCCCGTCGATAATATTCGTCCGAATATCTCGATTCACTGGTGTAAAACTGTGAAGGTACTCCCTCATGTTCATGCGATTCGTCCTAATGTCTGGCTATAGGCCTTAAATCGTGCTCGCAGTATCCCATTACGAAACACGCACTCGAGCTCGGCGACGACGAACACTAAACCGCCCGAGACTCAGACGACGACGAACGAGCAGTCGGAAGAATTGCACGATCCGAACGAACAGAACGTTCAGAAGGCGAACTCGGGGTTTCAGAAGAGCGCAGCTACGTCGAACGCGAAAAATGTGAGATTCCATTCCGACGAAACGAGCATCGCCAGCGAGACGAACGCGAACGTAACAACCGGAAAGAAGAACTTCGCCAAGAAACCGACAATCCAACCCAAACCGAGTTCAACCACCGGCAATAATATTAACAACAATAACAACAATCTTGAAAATCCAGTCGAAAATATAAGAAAACAGTTGGAGAAGCTCGAGGATCTCGGTGATCAATTGCCAAGCAACGAAACGGCCTACACATTGCGATATCCTTTCCAAGACAAAGGTAACTTTCTCTACGGATGGCTTCTTCTTAGTTGCCGAAGTAATCAAAAATCCGTGTTCCAGAAGCAGTAAAAAAAAAAAAAA